TAAACGACAAATATAAATAAGATCTTATGACACCACACGAAAATGAAGGGAATGAATTTGTGCATCAAAGGAAAGATATAGGAAACATTATAAATATAGAGACATAAAATACGAATCAAAACAGGAAGAGATGATGATACTACCTGCTTACTTCCGCGATAGTTGAAGTAATCTCTCAGGATATTGTGGTAATAACATAAGCAGAAAAACGTCACAAGAAAACCGGTGCAATAATTCTAGATCACGGATCGATTAATGTCGAAAATAATTTCGCAGAGATAACCTCTTTGTTACAGCTACCGAGGAAAGTCATATTACAACAAAAAGCAATCGCCGTATGAAAAAGCATTATCTCGAAAAGTCTGCCTTACTTGGGCAACGTGTATTAGTATACTTTATAATTTTATTTATCAGCCGAGTTAATGTTAACCTGTGCGAGCGATTTAATATAGAACGTATTGAAAATTTAATATTTATTTGCAATGAAGTAAGTAGTGTACTCGTTTAGTGTCAAAAGATTGAAAAGACGAAGTAACCGGTATTATTAAAACGATAAACTATAAAGTCCGGGGGCACAAACTTTCTCATAGAATCGTTCTTCATTCGCGAGGAGAATTTATGGCGAAAGTATGAAATTGTAGCGCATGACGGAAGAATAAGTTTCATCGATTGAGTCGTGCCCAAAGTAAAATAAATAAACATTCTATCGCATGTACCGCGTGCTGTATTACTTTTTACGACGCATTATGTAAGCGCGTGCTATCGATCTGTGTACTTTGAAAATTTCATTTCGCTCCCTCCTTTCACATCGCCCATTTCATATGAAAGAAAAACTTCTTCTAGTTTCGCTAGAAAAATTGGACTTTTTGGAAAATATGTCGCACTGTCCTATTTCCCTCGAAAGTTGAACTGCAAAGTTGAAATCCCAAGCACAGGAAAAGAAAAACTTTTCGCCCGTGGTTTCCAACGAAAGTCGCAGGTCAGTTAATCAACGTCTAATCGCGATACCCCACGAGTCGCAGAATGATAAATGAAGGCTAACAAGCTTGTTACAAACTACGAAACCAAGTTATTATGTTACTCGAAATAATTTATACAGCAGTAAAACTGTCGTGTCTCTCCTCGACCAAAAAAGTAAATTATTCTTCCAGCCGGGAGAACACGTCGCGGAGGACTATGTAAACTTGCAAATCTGCGTTTTAACCTAGTTTTACGCGTTTTTTACCTAGAGACACTATTTCCAGTCCCGCGCGAAGAATCGCAAATATTTAACAATTAAGAGTCCGATGTTAAACGACTTTTTCTTATTTACTATTTACGCCATGTGTGTATACATTTTATTTGCAGTTGTATTGTTTTGCAATTACGGGCGAGGTGTGTCGTACATTTGCTTATCAACAGAAGAATTGCACGAGTCGAGGAAAAAATCAATATTCGAAAACTTTATAATGCATATTAATCATCGAATAACACAATGATATGATATATTGATATTTTCACCAATATCAATATTTAATAACTAGACTGTGGATCTTTATGCGAAATAATTAGGGAAACGAAACGTATGCATGTAGAAATTGTAATATTATTATAATAATTACTTTGTTACGTCAAGTAACGTATAATAAGAGTATTATAGTAAGTACTTTCGACATTTTATATGTACAATAAGTACATCTAAAATAATATATTATAATATGTTATAATAAGTACTGTATGTTTTTATATATTGTCTGGACTTGATACATTTTTCCATTCTTAAATTTCATTCATAAATTCATGATAATTCGCAATCTGGTAATATATATAATGAAATATAATTAACAATAATGGTGTAAAAGTACAATGAATAATAATAGATGATTAATATCAATATCAGTCGTGAGGTTTCGAAAATTGAATTCTCTTCCATTATTGTAGAATTCAATCCTGCAGTCTTTGATCCTAACAATCAAACGCACGGAATATCTCATAGCGCCGACGTATTATGTAGCGAAATAATTCGTCCATTATGCGCTATAAATGTTATTTTAATCAAAATGTCACGTCTGTGGTTACGCTATATACTTACTAGATAGAAACTTGTCTTATAATATCGAGCTACACTCGTAATATAATTATATAATTAAAAGAAAAAACGAATTGCAAGTTCTGTGTGAATTTCAATTCGAAGTTTGAATTTAATTTCTTTGACCTGTTACGTTAATAATTATAAATTACAAATAACACTTTCGTATCTAAAATGATAATACAATTGCCTATCAAACAAAATTGGAAAGAAAATTGTAAGGGGTTAATGTGATCTCGAAAATTAACTAATTAATTAATTAAATAAATATAGGAAATTGTATGACGTGTGTGATTAGCAATATAGCGTGATTGGCACATCTAAAATAACTTCTAAATTATGCGACTAATGAAAAACTTGTTTGACACGATAGTTGTACGATTTTTAAAGGAGAGAAAATATGGCATGTCAATTTTTTGTATTGAGGAATTTCGAAATTTTCGAAGTCATCTATTTTTTTTTTTTTTTCTTTTTTTAATCGAATCATACACATTTTTCATCGTAAATCGAAGGAATATTAAATTCCAAGTAAAAAAAAAAAAAAAAGTATCACACAAAAGCCACATTTAGACCCTAAACTTAATGGTTAAAGAGACATTTTACGATAATTTGTTTTCGAGGACGAGACCATTTGTTTATTGCAAATAATTTATAAACGTAAGTGACCGTACCTTATCTACGCGTGACGCTCAAAAATGATGGCTAGCGACTTACACATACAAGCATTATAAGCAAACGAATAACTCGAAATCGAACATTTCGGACGATGCGGGCGATATTCCGTTTCAAGCGTTAAAAAAAGAAATTCCTTTCTCTTTTTTTCTGGCATTTCGCGCGCGCTAACAAGCCTTTGCCGCCGAGCGACACTTTGACAATTAAAAGTTGAGGGTATGTGGGTCGCGTCGTTAAAATCGAAACTGAAAACACGCGGAACGGCTTGAAAAGGAAGACAATACGGCGCGTCGATCAAATTAATTAGCCCGCAACCTTTTCTGGTTGCTCATTGCGTTCGTATTTGTATCAATTTATCAACGTCAAGTATCAATTTATAAACCGATAATATAACCAATAATCGATTGGCCATTACAAGATTATTAATTTATTATTTATTGTTCCTCCAGTACGAAGATATTATACGATCTAATTTACATGGAACCACGGTTAATCCTCGGCCTTAGGAAGCTGCTTTGGAAGTGGAAATTACCTTGTTGTTATGATTCAATGCTCAGTGCAACGATACACAATGCACTGAATCCAATGAAATGGCTTTGCAGACTGAGATCGTGCCTCATTACGACGCCATTGTGAACGAAATAAAACACTCGGTTACTATCTGCGAAGTAATCTTGTGGAAAATATCTGGATTAATAATTTTTGTTACGTTAAAATTTGAGAGGAGACCGAAGTTGATATAAATTATATCGCCATCGTCGTTAATTAATCAGGCAAATGTCGTAAATTATTTTGCACAACGCCGCGTACGATATACGAACTTGTTTGTGTAACACGTTGCAATGGAAAATACCTCGTACGTTTGTATGATATATTGCAACTAAAAATCATTAATTACGTGGTAAATAATTTACGTGTGAGAACTGCGCAGAACCTAAACGTAAACTAAAACATTCAGAACTGTATCGAAAAATCGAGATGGAGAAATGATTTTTATTATTGTTGCTGTACTGAAAAACCCAACTAAAAATATTCAGAACACATAAATCAGGAACTGTTTCCTTGAGGAAGATTTCTATGAATATTATTGGTAGATACATTGGTTGGTTCCTGCACGTGTACACAGTAGCACTGATTAGTAATTAGGAGTAAAAGAATAGTAATTAGACAATGGACTTTCGACGCATTGCCAAGCCATTCCTACGGACATACACTGTTATCGATAACTTATCTCATTTTGTCCCATTTTTCTTTTCCATTGACTAATAAATTGAAAATAGTCGTTCTGATATTCCCTCCGTTTCAATTTCTATTTACTCCAATTTAAAAACAAAAAGAAAAGAAAATTAGTTAACCATTCGGAAAGACTCGCGAGTGCGGTAAATCAACTTTAAATAAACTCTTTGAAGGGAGATCAGGATGAAAATTAAAGAATCGTTAATCGAAGCCAACATCTAAAAGTGAATTATATATGAAAACCAATCGACTCGCATTAAGTACTAAACATTCATTAAAACAATTTCTTCTTCTCTTTATGGCTCGCTTTTAGACATAAAGATACGCTATTATTTCGTCCCTTATTTGTATTTTAATAATAGAATCTATTCCTTTCGTGACAGTAAGTATATCGTAAAAATTTCAATTTATGTTGGGAGTCAACGAAAGAGTCTCATGCAAAAATTAAAAAAAAAAAAAAAAAATTAATAATTTTCAAAATACGCCGTCTTTTTGTTCCATCGAGAGGAGGGGTGTAAATTTCGTCGTGAGCTCGATTTCCGCTGATTTTCATGAAACGTCGCAGCGCATTTTCGTTTATTGTCTCTCGAAGAAGTGTCAAGCGTTTAACACACAATAACCATACAAATCGGAAAAGATTCGCAGGAGGCGGCCGAGTCACGTGCAACGGCGCAGGTTCCACGATGATCTCCTTCCACGAGGAAAAGCCTCGCCGAAGTCTGTTGCCCCACGGTAGGCATCCCCACCCCCAAGTCTACAACATTCGTCGTGAAAACCGGCCGCATTTCGTCGCGAGTTCTCGGAAAGCGCGCACACATAACCAAGCGATCCCGATCCCGCGATAAGTAGCCAACCGTCGCTTTAATACCCTTGCCAACGACTATAAAAACAACGCGCGTGCCCGTAATTATTCGATGTGTGTAATTAAAATAAAACAACCACCATCCACGATCCACGTAACTTACAAGTGACTAAACGGAGAGGAAAAGTGGTTTTGTTCTTTTTTTTTTTTTTTCAAGCACTAAAATTTGTACGCTGAATTAAAAGTTCTCCGTTTGATTAACATTGGACGTTCGTTTGGCAAAGATTCTGGAAGCAACAAGTTCGGGAGGAGGATCAAACTCGATGAAATTTGGAACAAGCGGAAGATTGAAAGATTTCGATCTCTCGGCTCTTCGAATTAAATATTCGTGCGACTGCTGACTCGCAAGCTGGCAATCAGCTGACGAGAGGGAGGGGCGAGGGACAGTTGTTCGCGCAGAGACTGACGGAATATCGTGAAAGAATCGACCATCAGCTTGCACTGCACGGATCCAAGGAAACAGGCGAGGGTGTTTCGGGCCCCTTTGATATCGTGGTCTTTGTCGCAACGCTGGTTGACTGTCAACATCGGAACGTCGAACGCAGCTGACCAAGCAGCCCCGCAACTGTTGACATCCGTTCCAATCGCCAAATTCCGACCTGTCGCGCTAAAATATTCATTCGTTCGCCTCCACTTTTATCGCGCTGCCGACAACAGAGTCGCGCGTCTTTCTAAAAAGCTGGCACGCGTCGCGACCAGATGGAACGATCGGAAAATTCCTGAGGGTTGGAAAGCAGCGCTCGGTGGATCGTTTCGTTATCATGTTGCGCGATAGCAGTATGCTGAAACGGCTGACTGTGAGTCCGACGCAACTGGAACTCACGACGCGTGGAAACGAGACGACCGCCCGCGAGGGAATCCTCGAGATGTCCCGACGTTTCCATGATTGATTCGTCGCAAGATCGATTCCACGGTTTCGCTCCTTCTTTCCGGATCTGTTTATTTATTTCGATAATTATATTCGAGCTTGGCTGCAACGCCCTCGAGTTTTGCTCGTCGTGCGATGCTTCCCTTTTTCGCTTCTGCGATTTCGCCAATTATTCGGTCAATCGGTGGGTCGAAAGGGCGCAGCGAGTGGACAGAGCTACGAACAGAGAAGTGTGATCGAACGGCGGAAACGTGAAAGCTCGATTGTTCCGCTGGGGAGGGTGAGGTCTCGCTTCGCCGGAAACCAATGCCGCTCGGATCTCACGAATGATAGTTGGCGGTCGTTCGAACGGAAACACTAACCTCCGGAGTGGCACATTGTTCGTATTCACTTCTCAACGACCGGTAAGTTCACACACATCCGTGCACGCGTTCGATTATGCGATCACAAACAATCGGGCATGTCTCTCTTACGAATTTCGACGCCACTTCTGCGTAAGTGGACTTGTTTAATGTTGCCGTTTCGAGAGGAACGAAGATGGAAGTTTCAAAGACGAACGAAGAATCCGGTTTCTTTTAACAGAAAATTCTCGATCGGGACGGGATCAAATTTTTTTTGTTTGAATTCTCCACGACTCTCGGCGACTTGGATTCCTGCGCCGTAAGTGCATCTCGGAAGCGCTTCTCCAAAAGAGTAATCCAACGTTTCATTATCGCGTTGGCTAACTGCCGTCGAGTATCAGGTTCCCACTCGCGATTCACTTATTGCGACTCACTTACTGGCAAGCGTTGCCCTTTAATTAACCGCTGATTCAATTAAAGTGGGTACCGGCGGGTACTTTAATTAACCCGGGGACAAACAGAAGGAAATTAGCTTCGACGTCTGTGGGAAGATCGTTTGTGAAATTCCGAGCGTTTAACGGTAAGAAGAAGAAGAAGGAGAAGAAGAAGAAAAGAAATACCGTGTCAGTTTTGCGTTACTTCTCTGCTGAGTTCGTGTAAGAGAAGACAGGGCCGCGGGGAAAAAGACTGTCTCGCGTTTTTACCCCTTCGCATTCCAACGTACACGAATACGAGAATTTAAATATGATGAGCACACCGGAAAAGAATACGATAAGCACACATTTTGTTGACTTTCCGTTCCGTGTTGACTTCTGCCCTGTTTTATGCTATCGAAGTCCGTTTCCATTGATTTTCTATTTCGTCACTTACTGTACCGGATGGAAGCGTTTCAATAACGAAATAGTTATTAATTTTGCCCTCGGCAATCGAACTTCACTCTCTGCACAGTTTGTATTTAACATTCCAGAAGCAAACAATTTACTTTCGCGCGATAAAGCAAATCGAAACGCAATTGGATCAACGAAATTGATGTACGAATAACTGCGAAATCTGGCTGAGAAATCTCCGAACGATATTCTTTGCGCCGATGAAAAAAAAAAGAAAGGAAGGATTTGATGACTCGTCGAAAATAAACAGCGGCGGAAGAATGTATTGTATTTTTGCTCGAAACGAAAATTATACGATCGAATATTTTTCTGTTCTCCTCCTTTTCCCCAGCGATTCGACCAACTCGCTCGTTTTTACGTTTTGGAAATTTGAGGAAGAAAGCTACGAAAAACAAGTAACGATCTCGCGAGGTAAACATTCCTCGATATTTTGAATGATGACAAAGTTAATACGCCGCGAGAAATAACAAAGTAATTAGATATCGTTTCATTTTTCAACGCAACCTGTTGTCTCCCTTCTTTGTAAACTTGATGATGAAGAGAAATTAGATCGAGGCGTGCCGCTAAAACATGCAAACTTTAATGGAAAATTTTAATTATATTACAATCTGGGGAATAGGAACCGGGGAACATTTGTTTAATCCTTTCCTCAGAATTTTCGCTCTGAAACAACAACATCTTTAAGATCTTTTCTTTCACGCGACTCTGACTTCTATTTAAAACCAGTGTGCTAGTAATTTTATTAAAATTAATTTTATTAAAATAATTAATATTAAATTAATTTTATTAAAATAATTAATATTAAACTCTGCTAAATGTGCTATTTTATAATTTAGTATTTAGTATTAATTACATGCATTAATTTACATACACAGTCCCACTCAAATGTCTTAGGACATTTTTAAATTTAATATTCAATACTTATCGTGGATTGTCGTATATATACGTATTTTGCAATACAATATAATACAGAATATTAATTATATTAACAGAATCTTTATTGTATAGAGTATACGTTTATTTTAATTTTAATTTGAATTACAATTAAATGTAAATAAATCTATTCTGTATTGAATTTAATTTTACGGTATAATAATACAGTAATAATACAGAGTTTTCCACCGTATGAAGTATGTTTTAATAATTATACTGTATACATATTTATTGTACACAGTTTACATTGCGCATTGTGCATGTAATTCATGAAATCGTTACGAAGGGAGAACTTCAATCTTCAAAATGAGAATCGATCTAGTTACAGGAAACAATGTTCTCACGTTCTCGCACGCGAATTGGATTTTTACAATTTTCGATTAAAAAAATATTCTCGCTTTTTCACTCTCGGTAAAATTGTTTTTGAAAAAAAACGAACTCCCGATTGTCGAAATAATAAAATGGGATCAAGTGGATCGTTACATGATCCTTTTTCTTTCTACGAAATCACATCGGTTTAAATTGCAAAAAGCTTTTCACTGTCCTTGGCACAGTTATGCTCTTTACTGTACATAATGATAACAGTGAAATTGAATTTCGTCTCAATAAGAAATGACACAAAGTATATAACTTATTACTACATAAATATAACTTATTAATGATTAAATATAAATATAATAATTAGTAAAATAATAAAATTTTATTTATAAAAAATTATAATTGTTATTAGTGTTTATTACATCGTTAAAGAGAAACTGTACTTCTATTATATATATATATATATATATACATATATATTCGCAATTTTTATATCCTGGGCTGCAAAGGGTTAAAGTAAATAGGAAGATCGATGACAGTGAAAAGTTATTAAGGTCCCGCGAGATCGATGAGAAAACGAGAGCCACCGTGAAATGCATATATTCTCGAAAATATTTGAACGAAATCGCAAGGGGAAGAGATTATAAAAAGGAACTGTCACTCGTGTTTCGACGAGCTATAGAAAACTATGAAAACTACCGCGTACAGATGAAAAATATAAATATAAATGGAAGGTTAAAATAATTCCAAAAGAAGGAGTTTTTGATTAAAACTTCGTTCAATTTCTGTCGATACGGTAAGATAAAGACACATCTATTTGTGTATTAATTAATTCCAATCAAATTGTTTTTAGAACTTCCTCGAGAATTGCAATTGCTATCTCTATGAAAAATATCGCACTAATGCTAGTTGTGCTTGCAAGCTCCAAACAAATAAGGTTTCAAAAATATCAGCTTTCAGAAATGCCAATCAATTCAATTCGAATCGTTTTTGCTCGCAACTTGCTGCTTCGTGGGAAAAAAATAATCGATAGTTCCACAGAAGCAAATACGTGGAAAAATTCTTGCGATTCTTCTTCTTTGTACGTAATTCAAACATAAAATACATTCGTGTTTTTTATTTAATTTAAAAAAAGAAAAGAAGGGACCTACAATGCGTATGTCGCACAAGAGACACATATTTAATTTTTTTCTTTCAGTTATATATTCGACACATAACAAATACATAGTAGTTGAAACTTGAAACACGTTTTAATCAATTTGTATGTAATTCTTTTGAAAGAGGCGTGAAATCTTCACTCTGACGATCCTGCGTTAATTTTTTACTGAAATGTTTTGAGAGGAAGCAAGGATACTTTTGTTCTCAAAAATTCAAATACTTCTGAAAACATTAAAGAATCTTTTTCGAAATCTACCATGATCTTGAAAATTGAAGTTCCTTTTCTACAACGACCTCTTAAAACTAGCTGCACGATTTTTGTCGTTTGACTCTGATTGTTCAAAGCGAGGAAAAGTCATGGAGCAAATTTTAAAGGATTGAAGCGAAGAGAAGATTTCAATCTTCAAAATCACGGTATGTGTAATCATAAAAAAAAACTTTTTCAGTGACTTCAGAGGTATTTAAGCTTCTACAATTTTCGACGATAAATCACATTGCTTTTCCACTTGCTGCATGATGTCAAAAAAATTTCTAAAGGAAACGAGCTGAAGGCTGGTAGAGATATCATACTTTAAAACGAGGCCAACTGGATTGTTGTACGATTTTGTTTAAAATATCGACAATTTTTCATCGTACGAATATTTTCAAAATTAATAGTAGATGAGGAAAACGATGATTTCATTCTTAGAAAATTATTGTACTGTTAGTAAACTTTGTGCCTTGACTCCAGTTAAGCAAAATTTTCAAACCAAAAATGTGGTTTTTGCCTCTATAGATTGAATAGCAACCCCGTCTCAATTCCGTATTTTTCCCCATATTTTTCCACTCGTTTGTTCAATAATACTTTCACGACCATCGTCGCAACCTCATTAATTCTCGTTTTGAAATTACTAGACTTTATTCCTTTGAATAGGAGCCAATAAAGATCGCTGTTTCAAAACTGAAGGAAGCATCTTAACGCTCCTCGCGAAAAGGGCAACTTTCTTCCGGATCTCTCCATTAATCAAGTTTGTTTATTAGCTTTAAATCTTTCTATCTTTTCGACAATCTTAATAGCATTTTCCGCCGGGAAGCTTTTACAAATCTCCTCAGCCCTCTCTCAGCCCGTGAGTCTTCCGAACGATCGTCAACGGAGTCGATGAGATTCCAAACGTGGATTTTGACTTGTACGTGTATCACAAGTGGAAACGTGTCGTTAAAAATGCGGAGTCAAGGACAGAGAAAACAACATTATGGCATTATCAGAGTACACACACGGAGATACTTTTAAATTTGTTTGTTAACTCTGACAGAAAAATACCTGCTTTGATAATAAAATTCCTACAAAATTCTTATACAGATCCCTACCTGCTATTACTATTCCTACCTGCCATTCTAACAAAATTCCTAGCTTAATAACGAAATAACATAATTATTAACACGCGCGGGCATTTCGTAAAATTCAACATTAGTAAAATTAGTAAAATTCAACAGTTGCGTTGAAAATATTGTCATAAATATTAAATTCTAAGGGTAAATTTCTACCTCACCGACTTTTCTCAATTTCAGCCACATCGTTCCTTCAACAAAAAAGGCCCGTTCTGTCGCTAAAACGAGGAGTCAACCGAGAGACGTCGAAAATTAGTTTTAAAAACGAAATGAAGCTTCTCAAAAAGAAGGGGAAAGAAAAAGATCCGTAGCGAAATTGTAAAACATTGGGAAAAGTCGCTAATGTAGAAATCTACCAACTTTGACAAGAAATATTTCGTAGTCGGTCCAATCGACAGAAAGCACGATCGAAAATTACATTTGTTGCTGCTTTTATTACAATTGCTATATCGTTGGATTCTTTTCGCCTTAATTATCGACGTGATACACGGGTTAGGACACGAACGTCCAACGATGTTATAACAAAACGTGCAAACCGGAGAATTTGCTGTGTATCGTGTGACCTTCGCACGTTACCATTCGGATGAACGTTTATAAATCCGACAGATTGAACGTTACTCTCATTTATAATACGGTATAACGTGATTCCCGTGTA